GTCTGTGGGGATTCTGAACTTATTTGAATTCTTGCTTTCTGCGTTTCATTCCTTCCCATCTTTTATTGCAAAACCAGCAGATTGGATTGTTAATTCATCTTCAGTTGGGTTTCCATAGCTTCAATTAACTGGTGGAGTACTTAACTTCGGAATTTCATTAAAAGTATAAAATACTGCTTTATTGAATCGCAATATTATTTTAATGATGCAAGAATTTGATTTACTAGTAATCTTATCTCTATGTCTTCTATTAAGCATGAATTTAAATGCACCAACTTATAAAGAATAGATTTGTAATGCAGTTTCCCTCAGTATTTGTTCATCATATAGGTTAACTAAACAAGATCAGACTTGTCCCTCCCTTTTGTCAAGATGAAGCCAGTTTTCTTATGCTACATGTGGACTGTGGTTGCCTGTCCGGAATGTAAGTTTCCTAAGAGCAAAATAAGATATTCTGGGATTGCCATTTTCCTAAGGATATTTCACAGCTTGGCACAGCCAGCAGAGTTGAAGGCCTTTCTATAATCAATGAAGCAACAGATTTTACTTCATCTTCTAGTATCAGATATTCTTTTTTAAAAAAATTCTATTTTTATTTTATTCAAAAGAAAGTTAAAATACAAAACTCTTTTGTTTTTCATATCCTTAATAGTAAATAGTATAATCTTCTAAGTGAAAGTGCCCTATTCCAGTCTCTTACAAATCACTGATAGGCAAGATTCAGTGCACAGTCAATTCATTTCATCTTTTTCTGTCTTGTTCATGCTTCTTCTTGTCCATATTCCTACTGTAATTCAGTGATTGAAGATTTGGATTTTCTTTTCCTGCATGACAGCATCAGCAACTAAGTGTCCCGAAAGCTTTAATCTAGCTATTAATAAACATCATTAGTACTTCAAAAGATTCTCAGCATTTTCTCAATAGCATGTTGATTACCATATGACCTGAGAGGTCCATTATCTGACACAGTATCATCAGTCAGTTTATAATATAGATGCCTGCTCTGTTTAGCTGGCAGTTGAAATAGCTTTCACTCTGTGAGTGACTTTGTTAGGAGTGTATACTTTTGTCATATTCTCCTGATTTTTTGTCATCCCTCCCAAGAACTCCTGATGACATAGTGAGACTTGATGGAGAAGGAAGTTATATAATTCAAAATGAAAATTAATAAAGTTAGTCTAACATTATTTATTCTTAACATATTCATGTTGTCACTAAATAATTGGTGCATTATTTTTAAAGTGTTTCACATTCTGAATTTTATTATCTGTCCTAGTGGACAATCACTTAAATATCAGCTAGCAGTGTGCTGCTGCTGCCAAAAAAACCAACACAGCCCTAGCCTGCATTAACAGAGGTATAGAATCAAGGTCACATGAATCAAGGCATTAATAATGTCTTGGTAAGACCACACTTGGAATATTGCATCCAGTTTTGGTCGCCATGATATAAAAAAAATGTTGAGACTCTAGAAAGAGTACAGAGAAGAGCTTCAAAGATGATTAGGGAACTGGAGGCTAGAACATATGAAAAATAGTTGCAAGAATTGGGTATGTCTAGTTTAATGAAAAGAAGGGTTAGGGGTGATATAATAGCAGTGTCCAAATATCTAAGGGGCTGCCACAAGGAAGAGTGGGTCAATCTATTTTCCAAAACACCTGAAGGCAGGACAAGAAGCAATGGATGGAAACTAATCAAGGAGAGAAGCTGTCAGGTCCCTAAATCCTTATTGTTTTCCCTGCATATGTGCTCGTTTGGAGCTTGCCATTCTGCTGGGGGGGGGGGGAGTTTGCTTTCGCTTGGGATAACTTTTGCTTTCTGCTTTTCCTCTCCCACCTCTATTCACTTGAGAAAACTCTGTGTCTCCCTTTTCCCCAGATATTGCCTCAACTTCCCTATTGTCACTAACCCCTAATAAAAATTCTTTTTGAGACAACGCTTGTTTCAAGAGTTCTGCTTTCTTGGGTGATTAGCTGAGGTGGGTCCTTACATAAGCATTCTAGAACTAAGGAGACATTTCCTGACAGTGAGAATAATTAACCAGTGGAACAACTTGCCTCCAGAAACTGTGGGTGCTCCAATACTGGAGGTTTTTAAGAAGAGATTGGACAACCATTTGTCTGAAATGGTATAGGATATCCTGCTTGAGCAGGGGGTTGGATTAGAAGACCTCCACGATGCCCTTCCAACTCTGTTATTTTTTTATCCTGTTATTGAATATAGATGATAAATTGGCCAGCTATAATTTCCTGGATCCTTCATGTTTAGTTTTTTTTGTGAATAAGAATGTTTATAGCAGAGGTGTCAAACTTGCAACGTCACGGGACATGTCGCAACGTATCGTGACTTTTTTGCCATTGCTGGCAATGGGGTGGGCACGGTTTTGCCATGATGCATCCGGCCCGTGGGCCGGCAGTTTAACACCTATACTATATTTTAGAAGTTAAAATAATACAGAACGCAAATTCTTTTAGCAGACTGAGAAATTTCATCAGCATCTGGAGAAGCAACTTCAATGAATGCCTTAGGTACTCTGTGACCAACTTTAACTCCATTCATGTCTCAGCTCATTATATTTGCTTTGTGAGAAAAGGATGATCAAACATAGGAATTGAGCAGTTCAGCCTTTGTTTCCAAACATTGACCAATTTCTCTAAATTGTAATAATTATTTCTTCTATGATATGAAGTTTTTTTTAAAAAAAAAAAAACTATCATAGCATTTGTAACATCTCACACTAGCTTCTTGGGGTTTAGCTTTCCTCTGTATTTCTTGATTATTTTTTTTGTCCTCATTTCTTCATGGCTGCTCTCAATCCCTTTAATTGTCCTTTTTGATTTTCAAATTATCACATAGTTTTTTTTAACATATTGGCTGTATTTGTGGTAGAAATTACCCAGCCATCCCTTCTCACTCCATCATTAACCTCACCTTTCTATGCCCAAAGTACATAATCCAGATTGGCTCACGTTTTTAATTCATCCACCACATTTTTGTAAGGTCTCTCTACAACATTGTTTAAATCTATCAACTCATTTCCAAGTAAATAATTTGCATGACATGGGTGGAGCCAGTTGATTGTGAAAGTTAGATTGGCCCCAAAGAAACATGAGGTTTTGGAGGCTAATCTGTCATTCCCAGTATCAGTCAAGTGGGTCAGCTGTGCATCTTGTTCTGGAACATTAAGCTTTTTTTACTCCTTTTCTGTAAGATGTTAATTGTAAAATTATGCTCCATTATTACCTTCACAATCAATTCAGGCAGCTGCTGTGGCCCTATTGACCCTCCCAACCATGATCTATCATTAGTAGGTTGTCAAATGACAAATTCTGATGTCCATGCACAGGATGATTATCCGATGTCACTGAAGGGAGAGTAAGTCTGAAGTGAAATCAGAATGAATGAAAGAATGGAGTGCACAAATCCACAAGAGTGTGCCTTGTTTATATATTTGAAAAACTACAAAAATGTTTTGTATAGATAATTGACATCTGACAGGACAGGAAGACAGAAAAAAACATACCATTGTAGGTTGAATGCAGAGTTAAAAAATATAATGAAGAGGAATGAAAATGTACAGTACTCATTGACAAGCAAGATATGATAACCAAATGGATTTGAGAAGCAAGTAAAAGAAAAAAGATTAAAATTAAAATCAAGCTAACAGTATCAATAATAACAATAATAACAATGGTAACAATCATACATAAAAAATTTTGTTTTCCAGTATTTAATAAAATAAACATTTGATTATTTCACCATTTATAGAAAGTAGGGGATCTATGAACAAACTAAAAACAAAATTGGAAAAAATTTATTTCTTTTTTTAGCCTCAAACTCCCGTGTTTTCCTCATGCTTCTCATCTTGGAACAATCAGTCTGAAGTGACAATATTGAATCTCTCCTAGCATGAGGAATGAAAACTAGAACTAATTAAAGTTAATTAAGTACAAGAATGGCCTAGATAGCAGGATGAAGCGTGCAAACCTAAGCTTTACAGATATCTTTCCATAAATTACATATTATTGAACCATGAAGAAAATATAAAGTTGCTGATTCTAGTTATATAATTGGCTTTCTTTTTTGGCCATATCTAATCATGCTTCCATTAACAAGTCCCTTTTAGGATTTCTAACTTTGACTACAGCATTTTTGCTTTTCATTATGTAAGTTATTTAAAACAACAATTGCCAGTTCTATAAAACAATCAAAGTAACTTATTTGCCATGATGCTGTTAGGTTTTCAGAGGCAGCTATTTCATCCTTAGTAACTTAGTTGTCTATACTTTTATATTTGTATCATTTAGGTATATAATGGAACTTCGTTGTTGTAGAAGGGCTTCCCAAGAATCCATTTTTTAATCATCTGTTGTTTTAAAAAATGTATTCAGTTTTAGCCTTTGCCTTGTCATAAAATGTGGGTTATTTACATAAATATCTATCTGTATATTATTGTTTTACTTTTTTTTAATTTTGAGAATAGACATACTGAGGATTTCCTTGTTTGACAAATTAATTTAGCTGCGGTGCACTAGTGCAAGGAACATATTGCAACATGATTATTGCCTGTTTTCTGGCTTTATTAATCCAGAAACCTAAATGATAAACAACACTTGTGTCATTGTCTACACAAATGTAATTTGTTTATGCAGAAGTTCAGTTAATCCTACCATCTGCTTTTCTCAAATGAGAACAGATAATGGAGACACAGCTCCTCACAGGTCTTCAGGCTTTTAAATTCTGATAAAATCAGGATTCTTCACTGGCTCTTGCCACAGCTCTGAATTAAGCCACTTTAAATGTAATTACTGAAGCTGGCTGTACATCAGGAACATCCATTAAAAGAATTGATTGACCATGCTGTTATGGCAGGCATTTTATGAACAAACTATCATGATGGGTCCAGAACTGTAATTTATAAAAGCAAAAAAGCAGGTAAACACTTTTTAGCCCTTAATCAGAGGCACACTGGGTAACTAATTTTTGTCCTTTTTAACCAGCTGCTTTAAGGAACCTTGGGCCTTGGCCATCTATCAAGATCGTTTTAATGATCTGAAGAAGGAACTACGTCAGATCTTAGTATCTGCCCAGGTAAAAAAAAAATCCTCCTATATGCATTTAATATAAGCATTTATTATTGTTGATTATTTGCTTTCATATTTCAACAAACTGGAAGTTTGTTGTTTCTTCTTTACTCTTAAACTGTAAAGCTCCAGAATATTATTAGAGCCAGGTTGGTCTAGTACAGGGGTAGTCAACCTTTTTATACCTACCGCCCACTTTTGTATCTCTGTTAGTAGTAAATTTTTCTAACCGCCCACCGGTATCGTCGTCTGCGCATGCCTCTCGCGCATCGTGGATTGGGTTTGGGGGAGACACCGGCTACCAGCTCTGCTTGTCTGTTACAGCTGGATGGTGAGGGGGGAGATGCACGAGCTATTCTGAGATGAGGCTCTTTTGTTTGCAGTCACACTATAGCGCCATTTAGTTTCACTTACGTAACGTGAACTAAACTGATGCGCAGGTGATACAAATAGTATATTTTCAGAAATTTAAATTGTCACAGGGAATTTTATGAAAACCTAATGAAAATGTTTTTAAATAATGCTATGAAAAATTTTTTAAAAGTCAATTAAATAAAAAAAAGGAAAGTGCTTCAGTATTGGACAAAACCCCTACCACCCACCATAAAAGCTGGAACGCCCACTAGTGGGCGGTAGGGACCAGGTTGACTACCACTGGTCTAGTAGTTAAGGCACCAGGCTAGAAAGCAGGAAACTCTGAGTTCTAGCCATGATAGCTAGAACCTGAGCAATCTTGCGCCAGTAACTCTCTTTCAGCCCAACTCACCTCACTGGATTGTTGTTGTGGGGAAAATAGGAGGAGGGAGGTGTGTTGGATATGTTTGCCACCTTGAGTTATTTGTTAAAATAATAAAGGTGGTATACAAGCAAACAAACAAACAAATAATTATGAACTTTAGGAAGAGTTTTATACACAGTTTATTTTCAATTTCAATGTCCTGTTATTTCTGTTACTGTATGTGTGCATTGCATTTTCTTGAATGGATTAATTGCTTTAATTTTCCTAGAATAATTACTTAAGAATGTAATAGTCCTACAGGATCAATTAAACAGTTTATTAGTGCAAAGATCCCCTTCAATAGTTGGCCTGTAGAAAGCCCATAGCCAAGTGTGAAGTTAATTGTTAATAGGACTGCATAAAGCATTCAAATGAGGTACTTCTCCACGCATGGGAGCAAGAAGGAATCAGGAATCAGGAAACACCTCTTATTACCTCACAAAGTAGTGTCCCATATATGCCTATACTTGCATGTCCAGGCATAGTTATCCCTGCTTTTCAGCTATTACTCAGTATATTTGATATACACTCCCTAGAGCAGGGGTGTCAAACAGCTGGCCCATGGGCCGGATGCATGATAGCGAAACTACGCCCAGCCTGTTGCCATCAATGGCAAAAAAGTCACGATATGTCACGTCACGTGATGTTGCGAGTTTGACACCCCTTATTCAGATGTACCGCTATAGAAATCAAATCAAATCAAATCAAATCCAAATGGTTTTTGCATTCAATGAATGTTACCAGATATAAAGTTCTTTTGCTTGCGGATATTTCATTACCTGACTAAGTAACATCATCACTGCTTATATATCTGGAGTTTGCTCCTTGTTTATATACAATAGCCCTACCAGTGTTGGTGGGGATACCATTTTCTTCTTGGTAATTCCTTGATTACTGATTACCCCTCCCCTGGGACTCTCAGGCCTTTTCACCTCAACTGGGTCCCCATAGGGTTTGGGCCTCCATCCCACCCTCATTACCCATAGTGCACTTACCTTTTGAAAATATCTGGAGCTCCAGAGCTTTCCACAGTACTGCATAGAGCGGTTTAGGAAAGCAGAATAGTGCAGCCCATCCCAGAAGTGAAGTAATTATGGGCACACTAAAAATGGCGGCCACTTCCAGGAGCCATCCATGTGGCCTGGGAAAAATAGCCTGCCCTCCTTTCCCAACATGAGCTGTTGAGATCTTCAAAAGATAAGTGTGCAGTGGGTGATGGGAGGTGGGGGTAGGCCTGTTGAGTTGGGATGGGGGAAGAGAGACAAGGGTGCTATAACATGCCTGCAGTTAGTCATAAAGGCAAATGACCACTAGGGCAGTGAAGCAGCCGTAACTTCAAAACAGTGTCATAAGTAGTTTTTGTGGGATTTCTCATAACTTGGTTACTAGTATTATCTATATTTGTTTATACAAAGTCTATACCTACAGGCAATATGCTTGTAAGAGGCAAGTGCAATCAGCTCTTCAATCTACTGAATAATTGGAACCATGCATTTATTTTTCCAATGCTGAAATATCAGTCTTTTAGCCATATAAGGAAATGGAGAATCCATGTACATCCGCGTTTCAAATATCATGTATTAGGTACAGGTAGTCCTTGACTTACAACAGTTCATTTAGTGACCATTCAAAGTTACAGTACTGAAAAAAAGTGACTTATGATCATTTTTCACACTTATGACCATTGCAGCATCCCCAAGGTCATGTGATCAAAATTTGAATGCTTGACAACTGATTGTTATTTATGATGGCTCCAGTGTGGTCACCTTTTGCAACCGTCTGACAAGCAAAGTCAGAAGCCAGATTCACTTAACAACCATGTTACTAGCTTAACAATTGCAGTGATTCACTTAACTAGGATAAGAAAAGTCATAAAATGGGGCAAAATTCATGCAACGTTTCACTTAACAACAGAAATTTGGGGGTCAATTGTGGTCGTAAGTCAAAGACATAGTTCAAAAGAATATTAGCCTCTGAAAAATTTAGGTTTTTTGCACAATCATGTTTATATATACTACTACTTGCTAAGTAGAGGACATAGTAGAAGCATTTATCTTAAAGCAATGGTCCCCATCTTTTCTGGTTCCATGGAAGGGCAGCAGCAGCGTCAGGGGCATAGGAGATAGTTTCACATGCGCAACCTGATCATACACACACGCAAATAAAGCCTGCCACTCACCTGCCACTTGCGCCATCTGGTTTCCACCTGGCCATAGACTGGTTGGGGATTCCTGTCTTAAAGAAGCATTACCCTTACGTAATACATTTCCAGCAGTGCAGTTTTTGACAGTCCTTTTCTATACAAATGTAATGGAGTCCAATAAGTTTTAAATATTATTTTTTGTTGTGTAAGTAATAATTTGAGGCCCACTTGCTATAAATTGTCTAGGCAATATAGGAACCACTAATCCTTTATTTCACTCATTTCTGAACATCTGCATATTAAATCGATTTACTGATAACAAATATATATAAAAACTAATAGGTATTTTAGTTCTAAAGGATTTAGCAGTTGTTCTAATGTCCCAAGTGTTTCAGAAGCTAAAATGCTACTGGTCCAAACAATGTAACAATGTAAATATTACCATTGGGTAATATCTGATAGATGATATTTGTCTCGTAACACAGAGTATCTTCAAAATTCATCTTCAACATCTGTCAGTTGATTTAAAGACAATATCGCATTTTCTATTCAATTTTTCTAAATCCCCATCCTTTTCCTAATTTTTGAAGTTGGGCTTTCCCATAAAGTCAAATTGACATGAGAAAAAGAGTCAAATATATTTTTATTGCACATTCATAGCTTTCTAACTGACATTCTTGTTTCCAGAGATACTAGAGTTTTAATATATTTAGATGCTAATATTATCGATCCAACCAAAGGTGTTATATATGTATGTTCTAAAGTTATCCCAATTGGAAAATTAACGTGATTATTGACTTCCAATATGTAATACTTGACAATAGGTAAGAATGATGATATAGTTCCAGATGTGGAAAGCTGAACCCTCCCATTAACTGGTAACTGCATTTTCTGTAAAAGATATTTTCTGATTTGAAAAACCCATAACATTTTTCTAAGCAGAAATTTTAATTTCTGAAAATGTTTTCCAGGTATGTAAACTGGAATTCCTAACAGAATATAAATTAATCTGAGAATAATATTCATTCTGGCAACATTCCCCTTTCCCCAGAAGATAATTACTTCTGTCGATCAATTTCTAAAGAAATCTCTATATATATTTTATTTATATTACATGTTAGTAACTAAGTTATATTCTTTGATATACACATACCAAGATAATTAATGGAGATGGTAAAAATGCAGAATTGATATTCCTTAAATGGATGTGTAATTTAATTTATTGGCATCAATTCTGATTTGGACCAATTAATAGAGTAATCTGTTATTTTGCTAAAGGCATCTATCTTTTGCATCAACACAGGGATAGTAGAAGGAGGTTTAGAAAATGTGTGTTCCAGATGTGAGAGAAATAAAAAATAATAATAATAATTCGGTTTTTGTCTTCTTTAATTAATCATGATTTTTTTTTTAAAAAAAAAAAAAGAGGAGGCAATAGAAAAACATAGAGATAAAAAAACTGATATCTGGACCACTCTCCAAAGTCCTAATTTCAAAATATCTGTGAAAGCTCCTGATAGCCTTCATGACTAATAACTCTGAATAAATCCATGTGTATTGCAGTCCTAGTTCAAAGTACACAGGTGTCATCTAAAAAAAAAAAATACTTAGAATAGTATCTCTGTCATACTGTTTTGGGGGAAGAGGGATTTCTGTGTTGATCATTTTTAGCTAAAAGAGCAATAGAAATTTGGATAAAGATTAATAAATCTGTGTTGTATTGGGTAGTTTGGATATAATGGAATGACGTCTACATTTGGAGGCAAAAAAAATTATGTAGGTAAATTAAAGATTCCATTAGTAAGTTCTTTTTTCTATTGATTTTGAATCGACTATCAATTTTTGTAGCATAAGACAAAGTTCTGATCTCAGTTCTTCCAAAGTAGGAGACAGGAGCTAATAAGTTATTTTTAAATATGCACATATTCTAGATTAAACTAAGGTTTAGATCTTGGTGTCTAGGATGTTAACTCTTTATTCTGTCTTCCAGCAGGGGGCTCTGCAGACTTCAAGTCAAAATTTTAAATTTTACTAAATTAATGGTCCCTCATTCATTACAGTAGTTTAAAAGAAATTTGTCGCATCTGGTGTGAATGTACAATTTTTATTCAACCTATTAATTCATTTGATCCTCATTGCAATACATCCCTTCTTAATCAGTATGGTGAAATTTGTCAAGATGTATGCAGTTTTGAGGAAACTATAAATCCAGGGTCAACAGAAGGTGACCATCTGGTCTGTTCATTATCATCTAAAATAAGTCCAATAAGTTAAACTCATTGGTTGAAATAATGATGTAATCAATTGTATTGGTACCCAACTCCCAGAAAGTGTTCTCTAACTATTACAATTAACTTGCAATTAGCAATTAACTTAGACCCAGTATTCTTCAATATCTTCATAAATGATTTAGATGAGGGAATAGAAGGGTAAACTCATCAAATTTGCAGACAACACTAAGCTGGCAGGAATAGCCAATACCCCAGCTCAGGATCCAAAAAGATCTTAACAGCCTTGAACAATGGGCCCTATCCAACAACATGAAATTTAATGTAGAGAAAAGCAAGGTTTTACACTTAGGCAGGAAAAACCAAAGGTACAAGAATAGATTAGGCAAAACCCGACTCAAAAATAGTAACTGTGAGAGGGACCCTGGAGTCCTAGTGGATGATCACTTAAATATGAGCCAGCAATATGTGGCAGCATCCCAAAAAGCTAATACAATCCTTGGTTGTATAAATAAAGGCATAGAATCAAAATCATGTGAAGTATTAGTACCGCTTTATAAAGCCTTAGTAAAACCGCACCTGAAAGATACTGCATTCATGTATAAAACATGAGACATGGGATGCAAATGCAAGGTCAGCCATAATGAGCTTAGATGTCTTTACACTAATGCTCAGAATTTTGGGTATCAAACAGGGAGAACATGAAGTCCTAGTATATCAAGGCAGATACAATATTATTGCTATTACTGACTTGGTGGGATGGCACCCGTGACTGGAACATGCTACTAGAAGGATATAAATTGTTCAAAAGAGACAGAATTAACTCAAAAGGAGAGGGGGAGGAATTGCATTGTATGTAAAGAATTACTACACTTTTACAGAAATACGCAATACTAGGGATGAAAGCCTTCTTGAAAGCATTTGGATGAATACCGGAGGAAAAATAAATGATATTGCCATAAGTGTGTAACACAGGTCACCAACCAAGCAGAACTTTTTGCTAATCCAAGGTACACAGGAAATACGCCATTGTACTAATGTGGGGCTTTTAACTACCCTGACATCGTGGGAAACAAACTCTGCAGTGAGTGGGAGATCAAACAGGTTTCTGATGTGCCTATTTGACAACTTTGTCACTCAAAAGGTGGAGGTGGGAACTAGAGGGTCAGCTATATTGGACTTAATCCTAACTAACTGGGGTGAAATGATTGAAGGAGAGGAAGTTGTAGGAACTGTGGGAGGAAGTGACCATGTCATACTAGAATTCACTATAATTCAGGACCAGGTGACTGAACAACTCAGACTCTTAGACTTTAAGAGCTGACCAACATACTAAGAGAGAGATTAGGAAGTACAGGTAGTCCTTGACTTACGACCACAATTGAGCCCAAAATTTCTCTTGTTAAGTGAGACATTTGTTAAGTGACCATTTTATGGTTTTTCTTGCCATAGTGAATCATTGCAGTTGATAAGTTAGTAACCTGGTTATTAAGTGAATCTGGCTTCCCCATTGACTTTGCTTATCAGAAGGTCACAAAAGGTAATCACTTGATCCTGGGACACAGCAAAAGTCATAAATATGAACCATTTGCCAAGCATCTGAATTTTGATCACATGATCATGGAGATGCTGCAAAGCTCATAATTATGAAAAATGGTCGTTAAGTCACATTTTTCAGTGCTGTTGTAACTTTGAATGATTACTAAACAAACTGCTGTAAGTCGAGGACTAACTGTATTCCATGGATGGAAGTCCTAGAAAGAAAAGCATTTCAGGATGCATGGGAAACTGAAAAATGAAATAACTAAAGGCCCCCAAAAAATAATAGAGAGAAGGAAGAACAAAAGACATCCAGACAAAACCAGTATGGTTACTTGGTCTTACTGAGTTTATTTAATTGGAGTTGTTAGGATTAATTCTTAAACCTTTTTGAATGCAAAATGTGTATTTTTCAATTGTTTTATGGGCTTTTCTCCAAATATTTTATTCATATTCAGCCTACAGTCTGCTTCATTTGTCTGGAAAATGTGCTACCTTTAATGTAAAATGGATTGAGAATTATCTGGAATATCTGGCCTTAACGTGTTCATACTTTGTCTGTTAGCATTACTTTTTTTTATACCTGGGATTTTCCTGGATATTGTCTTTACTTTTGATACTTTGGCATTACCAGCTAAGAACCTTTCTCCAACTAAAGATAATGCAGCAACTTAATCCTTTTTCGCAGAATGAAATTTTGTCAGATACCTTTATTACAGCTCATCTGAATTATTATAATGCACTTTACCTTGAGCTATATTATTGCAATCTTTGCTTTTCTGCTATTACTTTATTTAATGTTTTACTTTATTAGCGAGCCTTTTAGAAAGGTGGATATAAATATACAAACATATTTAATATATATAATTTTGATCTCTTAATCTTTCATAAGTACATGTTTTATTTTTCTGAGAAACTATTTTCTATGTCACTATGTTCTGAGTCATTTCTATACTGTTCAGTATAGTCTATTGTTCTTATCGTATTTCATTTTTTATCCTTACTCTTTGTAACTGAGAACTCCAATTTTTCTCCTTCTGTGATTTTTCGGCTACTATTAAATCCCTTTTTGTTTAATTTTTATATTCTTAATACTCCCATTAAGTCCACCGCATTCCTGTTTCCTTCGTTTTCCTTAGCCTGGATACTGCTATACAATTATCATCGTCGTCGTTGTCATTTTCATCATCATGAGATTCAGCCTGATTGGCTGCTGTACCAATATTGCACCATCCAAGATGAGGCGAAATGCAACTTATGCCAACGAAGCTGTATTGCTGAACCTCATCTCCACTTATTTCCACAGCTTAGAGACAGTATGAACTCTTGTCAAATCAATTATTTGAGTAATTTTTGAGCCCTAGTACTAGGGTAGCCTGGAGGATTTAAACATATATTAATGGTGAATAAAGCACTGTGAGCCCACTGTCAAACATAAGATGAAATCCTGTCAGTGTAATTGCATTAGTTTCTGTGGATCAAATTCCTTTTCTATCTTGATCAGTGACGCAATAGGTTGTCAGTACACTGGATGTTTTACAGAAGTACGCTGTTAGTGTGAATCATATGTATTTCAATACAGTGAACACGTCTTATTTCTTTTTCAGTTATAATTCAAATGGTTATTTTGAAGAAAGCAAATACATCTGGGCATTAAACAATGCTATATGTATACAAATATATAATTTCAGTATATCCTATTAATATGATTTGGAATAGAAAACATTATTGATTTTGGTTGTAATTTATATAGTACAGGCTGCATTAATGGTGCTTTACAAAATATCTTAAAAGTAAACCTTCTGAGTTGAAAGATGATATAACTGATAAAGAAAAATGGGGAGGGAAAAATAGTAATAACAATGTAGCGTATATACATTTTCCTTTCTCATTATAGATTAATGAGAAATTATCCTCACACGGTTTATCGCACACTTGTGCGATAAACCTTGCACTTTCACTAGTGTCAGGTTTCCCTAAATCTGAGTAATAAAAGTGTTTTGTCATATTTGGTGGTCGTGCAGAAATATAAAAGCTTTTTGGATTAAGATATGGTGGAATATTCAGAGAATTTTTAGAAGGAGGGTAAAATTTACTCCACAATTATTTTTATTAGGTATAGTTACTGATTGTGATACAAAGGAGGTTATATTGATGTTGAACTTGATCACAGCCGCAAGGCTGTTAATAGGACAATATTGGAAGAAGGAATCTTTGCCTACTTTGCAGGGATGGTTTCTTAAAGTGTCTTATTTGGCGGAAATGGCAAAGATTTCGGCTTTCTTAAAAGAACAATCGCAAGAGAAATTTCTTGCTGTTTGGGATAAATGGATAAAGTTTATACAATTTAAATTGGATATAAAAAAATATCATCTAGCTTTTTTATAACTTTTATTTTTATATATACACATATATTTTAGTGTTATATTCTTTTTTTTTCATATAATTTTTTTATTTTTTTTTTAATTAAACCTATATTCTGCTCTGGGAAGCTCCGGGGGGGGGGAGGGAGTGGGGGTTTTGGGGAGGGTTGGGGAAGGGTTGTTTTGTTTTGTTTTGTTTTGTTGTATTGTTTTTTTTTTGTCTTTTTGTAAAAATTTATAAAAATTTTTAATAAAAAAAAAAAAGTGTTTTGTCAGCCCCGATTCTATTGAAATGAACATGGCATGTGCTAGGCAGCACTTTGAGGATCAACTGGCATGTCTGCCTGCGTTCCAGGGAATGTGGTGAGCAGCTGCTTCTCTGAATTTGTTGTCAGGGCTTTGGGAATAAGTGAAGGTGAAAGAGAGGCTTAAGAGAGAGCCTCTGGCTAAAGACACAAAGCAATAAATCCCAGGTTGAGTTTGGTTTTAGATTAGAATTCTCTTTTTGGTGCAGCATTTTACTAATGTGTGCTAAATTTATTTATGTGGGTTATTTTGAAATTCTTGTGCATTACTCCTATTAGGCGGACAGAAGATGGTGATGCCGCACTGAGCACTTCAGTCAAGCTAATGATTATCTTTAGACATTTACTTGTCTCATTTCTTACTTATAGGAAGAAGATACACCTTCAATGCAAGAACTTGTCCGTCAAATAGTAGAAGGTGAAATTTCATTACTTGAAAGACCAAAGACATATCTCAAACAATCCTTTAAACAAAGTATATGCAATAACATGGTACAAAAAAGCATTCTCAATTATCTGAATTATAATAATTATCATCTGCCAATGTTTGCCTGGCCAGGAATAGTTTAGGTATAAATGACTAAATATGACTATTCTTGCAATGAATATACAATTCAGCAAAGTGTTTAGAAATGACGTGTAAATAAGCTCTAACTTTTTATGATTAGCCAGTGAATAAGATAGAGCTTGCCATTTAAGTATATGCTATTTGTACACGTTAAATCATTAAACATAAAAACAAAACAAGCCAACCATCCTCTTAGACAAGGGTATATAACCACATGTGCAGATATATTAAGACAATAGAATCAGCTAAAGTTCTATTTATCTGATCCGAGGCCAGCAACTTCAATAATAAGGTATGTCTCAGTGCTACAGACTCAATGATAAAGTAAAATAAAGTATGTCATTTCATCAATCTGACTCTGCTTCTAAATGTTGCTACTTTTCAATCCTGTAGCCTCCTGGGCAGTGCTGAGGACTCCCTCCCAAGCAGAATTTGACAGATGGCTAGTGAGATTTGCATATTGCATTTTAGCTTTTTAATTGTTCATTCAAAATGCGAACTTTGTATCTCTCTGTCTTCCTGGACAGAAGGTACATTGTAGTAGGAGGAAGGTCAGTTTTCTAATATACTGGTTAGTGACCTGGCAGCTGCAGGGTTAACTCTCTTTCAAGGGGCAGCTCAGAAACTCTGACCAATTGCAGATTAGCTGCAGAAAGCAGTGGACTGTTTCAGCCAATAGGAAGGGAAAATCACCAATCTAAGGAAAATGAAGTGACTAAATGTATACCAACTGATAACATTTCTATTTATACCAAATGATGAAAATGAATTGGTATAGTCAGGTGCAGAACTGAAGAGTTATCAACAATTCTGGCATAAACTAAAATCTTTTAAAAGAGATGGGATAGTAGTATGAAGAGATGGTCAAAGATGGAAGGTGGAGATTACAACAAAGGTCTATCAAATGATCTGCAGGCATTTTTCCAGTAACTGCTGTTCTATTCAGTCAGAAAGGAATAAAGGATAATCTTATACATATCGTATTGTGACTAGTCAGCAATACCATAACATCAGTGGGGCTATGAGGAATAGGATTGTTTCTTGAATTATTTGAGGTTATATCATGTAATGTGAAAAGGTGTGTATTGTTTCATTTTAGCACTAAAACAGAAGTACACAGAAAGCTTTAGAGAAGTAAAAAAGGTTGTGTACACAGTTTAACAAATTGTGCACAATTCATTTGTTTGATTGAACAATTTCTCTGTACTTGCCATATCAGTGACATTACAAAACAGTGTACAATAAATTTAAAAATGAAACAAGTCAAAACTATTAAAATAATAGTTTAAATTTTTAAAATCACAAATAAAAGAATACCTAAGCCTACGGAGCTAAGTAAATTGGCGCATGGATAACTATCCTTGAATTAATACTCAGATGCCAGTACCCAACTGTTACATCAAAACATTGTAGAAAACTCAACAAAAATTTGAATTCTGAATTTGCACCTAAATTTTTTTAAAAAAATACTTTCATTAGAATTTTATTGCGACATAAAATATAAAAATATAAAGAAAAGCAAGAAAAAGACAAAAGAAAAGAAGAAAAAGAAATGAAAAAAAAAACCACAGAAAGTTGACTAATTCCAAAGGATGGCTGCTAATGAGAAAGATACCTTGTAATTTTGGCGTGCTGATTCACACTACACCAAGAAAAGTGAACTCCTATTTGGTTACTCACTGAAAAACTGATTGAAGTCAATGAGTTTAAGTGCTCCAAGTTCTATGCAAGTCTATACAATTTATTCAGTTCAGGTAAACATATTTGATCTGATTCAGTGTGATTATGATTGATAATAATTTCAGATATTTGAGAACCTGTCCTATTTGCTAGGAAGAATATTAGTTTTTCTTACTGAAGGTATTTTTCCACTTAAACCTGGAGATGACTGAAAATGGCTTAAAAACAGTTTTAATATTTTTTTTCAAAATTATGTATATATATTTAAATAAAAAGTAATTGGTCTGTGCTTGAAAGTAAATCAAGAAGTACCGTATTTTCCGGCGTATAAGACGACTTTCTAAACCATGCAAATCTTCTCCGAAGTCGGGGGTCGTCTTTTACGTCGAGTCGTCTTATACGCCGGAAAATACCATATTTTCCGGCATATGACGACTTTCTAACCATGCAAATCTTCTCCGAAGTCGGGGGTCGTCTTATACGCCGAGTCGTCTTATACACCGGAAAATACAGCAAATGACATAAAAGAAAGGTTTCCTCCATATAGTTAAGGTTTAGCTTTTATAAGTCCAGAAAATAATAAAAATAAAACATTGGAAATTTTAAGAAATAGTGATAGTATTAGATCAAGAAAAACTGATTACTTTACATGACAAAATATTTTGAGCTTTCCATCTTTTTTCTGAAAATATTTTTGTAAAATACATATTTTCTTCATTTTAATACTATGTTAATGACTTCTTCTGTTTTCTATGTTTGCCTATCTTCTTTTCCTAAATTGGGAAAAATAAACAGATGCTAATTCCTTAGAGTTTAATAGCTTTGTTCCTTTTGAAATAAAAATAAAGAACAACAGTGTCATTATTGTTTGAATAAACTATATTTACTAAAATGGGGTTTATTCTATCACTTTAAATTTTTCAAAAGTGCTATATCCCTAGTCTAATTTTATTCAATAGAACATACTTCTCTGTGTTCAGTTGAGTTTGGGGAGGGTATACAAAGAGACTTTCTTCTTGCATTAGTTCAGTTTCTTAGACTTAGATAATTATGATTTTGGTTTGGAGTGATAGTAAAATGCTTATAGATCCTCCATTTCTTTTAGAAGATACTGTTTCTCTTGTTTGTTGTTCCCTATTCTCTACATTTTCTGATATTATGCTTTTTGGTCTTTGTGTGCATAAAAAACACTGTCTTCATTAGTAGTGTATATTGACATAATGTGTCAATTGTACATCATCTGGGTATGTATGCCATGAGGCTTCTGAGATCTCCAGAGTGTGTGGAGGAGTACTTGGTGCGCTGACTTATCAGTCCTGCTTCACCATCACATTCTTCCTAGATTTAATATCTTCTCCTTTTACCTACTCCTCAAATGCTTCTTGTCCATCAGTTCCAGTATTTCCAACACAATGCCGTAGGCACCATTGTGCTCATGGCCGTATTGAGATTCTTGCTAGGCTATTTATCTCATATATGTGGTCAAAGGAAAATCTCCATATAGCTGCATGAGGAGGAAGCATCCCAATTAAATATAACTGGGAAGTTAGAATTCTACTACAACAAGGATTCTCCCTTGGTAGGAAGCAGTCCTCTCCTACTAAACATCAACTGAGGAGTTAAAGTTTACTCTTTATATCATATGCATACACATGCTATTTTCAATGGGAGAAGGCTTTAAACACTAGAACTATTAAATAAGTAAAAATGAGTCAGTGTGGTATAATGGTTTAGGTTCTGGACTAAGACCATGGAGGCCCAGGCTCTGGTCCACGGGTATCAAACTTGCCACCTCACTTGACGTGTCACGACGTATCATGACTCTTTTTGCATTGCCGGCAATGGGGTGGATGCAGTTTCGGTATGATGAAACCATCCTGCAGGCTGGCAGTTTGACACCCCTGCTTTAGTCCTCCTGTAGGTATGAAAGCCAGCTGGGTGACCTTGAGCAAATCACTTCCTCTCGTTCCAAATTAGGGTCAGGGTCAGTCTGCAAGAAAATAATTTAAAAAAACCTTCATCACATCAAGCAAAATCAAAGCTTTGTTATAAGAAATAGGCAAGCATAATGCAAAAACATGCAGGATAGACACTAACAACAACAATATAAATAATTGTTTCTCATTGGCAACTGTAAGATGTGTGGACTTCAACTCCCAAAATTCCCCAGCCAGCATGCTAGCTAAAAACTTCTGGAAGTTGATCCTTAAAATTGCTAAGATTGAAAAATAATGATATAAATACACAATTGTTGTTGTTGTTAGTTGTGAAGTCATGTCCCACCCATTGCGACCCCATGGACAACATTCCTCCAGGCCTTCCTGTCCTCTACCATCTTAGACTCTTATCAGGAAACAGGGTCCACAGGAATGCTGAAACTCTATTGATGTAGGCCAGTGGTTCTCAACCTGTGGGTCGGGACCCCATTTGGGGTCGAACGACCATTTCACGGGGGTCGCCAAACAATGCAGTCTGCCATTTTTTTCCCCCTTTTCCTTAACTGTGCTACTCCCTTTTTTTCTATTGGCTTTTGAAAGCCAATAGAATAGACTCTCTTGAATAGAGTCTAATTCTATTGGCTTTCAAAAGCCAATAGGAATTGTCCAGGCTGTCTCTGCCCTGCTGAGCCCACCAAAAGTCCCATTCTGCAAACGGTGCTGCACCAGTTGAGTAGTCCTCGACTTACGACCGGTTGAGTAGTCCTTGACTTACGACCGGTTGGGGGTCGCAGCATTAAAAAGGTTGAGAACCACTGATGTAGGCTATACTGTACATGAATCTTGAAGGAGGATTTTCGTGTTCTTTTTAACCCTTTTCCATGGATCCCAGTCTATAAGTCTGTCTTTCTGAATGTATGTGCTCTTCACTGGCTGGATTTCTGCATTAAGCTTCATTGGTCACTAAATTATTCCTACATTTTGGATTTGCACAATCCATTAAAGCTCACCAAATGAACTATAAAATGCTTGGCTACAAAACATGCAAAACAAAAGCTGAGAGTTAGACCTTTTATTGATCTATTCAATGTCATCTTGCAAAGTAGCCCGCCACTCTTTTTCTTTATATGTCCCTCTTTGCCTATCTGATCCTTATGTCTATGGGTGGCCCTTGGGCACTTTTCATTATATGCAAAGTAATCACACATTTGTACTTCAGTCTTCCATAAAGGGAACTAAACTCCATAGAGGCTACGAAGAGATCTTCCCTTGAATAATGTCCCTCAGCCTATAAAAGGTATGTAGTGGAAGCGTTCTTCACTTTTAGAGGTTAACCATATTCCTGTCCATTATTTTATCAGCAACGATGATCTTTCACATGGCCCTTTTAAAAAATGTCACTTGTGCTCATGATCTCGATTTAATCAATCTTAAATGAAGATCTTCACAAAAGAATTGTGGTGGATCAAAGCTTCATCCTTTTTGGTTTGCCATTCCAGTATCACATATCAGATCAGATGTCCACAAGAGGAACATAAGCACACTTTCCCAATCAGTCTTCAAAACAATATCTACTGAGGTAATATATAGCTATTGTTACAAGTGCCTATTAACAGTCTAATCCCTATAAATTATTCTAATAATTTTGCAGATAAGCAGATTTGTAGTTATTGCTATATCTAGCATATTTCACAGAATAACCATCCATGGACTGTTAGAAAATATGTTATCTGAACTTAATTTTCACATAGAGTTTTATTTAAAGGTTCTATATTTTAATATTCAATTTTTTTCACTGCATTCCTGAATCATTAGAAACCATTTTGGTATGTAATTTGCTGTTTTCATTGCTGATTTCAATTTTGCTTTGTTTCAAGTCAGCACAATAGCTAGATGTCCATCGGAAGGAGATCAGGGAAGGTTGTGCATCTTCAAACTGCCTGTGGACGGTGCCAGAATGGGAGCACTAATACTAACACAGCTAAGGGTGACTTAAGCCTATCTTGTCGATGGGCTCACAGCAAAATTAAGACCAACCATGAGTACAAGGAGAAATTAAAAACAAATTGCCAGGGATTGTGTAATTGTATGTGTACTGAACAGCAAGGTGGGAAAAGACCCAGCAATCTGTATTTTCTAAGAAAAGCCCATTTCCCAACTTTCCCAACTGGAGTAGTGCAGTGGATTAGACTTGGCTTCTATGTTTGCCAGGACCTACAAGGCCAGAATCTAAAGTGAGCCCTGCCCAGCCTTAGGGTGATTCCCTGTAGATTGGGATTGCAGGGGATATGTGAAGCAGAACCGCAAAATGCCTCTTTTCTGAAAAGAGGTCACAGGTCACAAACTTAGCCAATCTCCTCCAACTGTGAATTTCTAACACTGACTCTTCTCCAGCTCTGGCACAGAATTAGCGCCCGAGGTGCTTGGAAGAGGTTTATACGTTCTTCTCAGCAAGTAAGAAGGAAAGATCGGAAGAAGATGTAAAACATGCTTATATTATTTTCCGACTTGAGGGGGGGGGAGGCAAAAAGAGGCAAAACAAGAGAAGGGAGGCGGGCTGAGGACAGAGCTGGGAGTGGGCTCAGTCATGTGTGAGAAGCTGTTGATTGTTCTAGTTGAGGAAAGAGATGGTAAGGCCGGATAAAGTGTGCTTCGCCCCTAAGGGAGGAGGAGGAGGAGGGACCGCAGCTGTATGCTAATGGACACGAAGCGACGGCCTCCCTCATTAAGTAGAGAGTAGGCAGGGAAGGCACACATCGCTGAGCAAACACATTTGCGCCGGACAAATGAAACACGCGCGCCCTTGACGCACCGCACTCCCGCACACGCCGCCACAGAGCAAAGGACAAAGAGCCCCCGAAGTGGAGGGCCAGCGATATGGGAGGGGCGCCCAAAGCCTGGCTGCATCTCCTGCCGCGGGGGCGGGCAGCTGGCGCCTGACCTTTCCGCTTGCGATTGCCTGTAACTGTCTGTCTCTAAGCAGCTTCGCTCGAAAGTTAGCGCCGAGGTGGCTTGAGCTGCAACTCCACCAGCGATACCCCCCCCCCCGTTCCTCCTGGGCGATGTTTTTTTCAAGTTTCTCGAAATACTTTCTTCAGGTTGAAAAAGGCGATGGAAATCAGGCTCCGCTTACCCGGAAAAGTCTTTGGCCCCGGCTTCGTTGAGGCGGGAAATATGGCCCAGTGTATTTTCCCGAGGCCAAGTGGGCCGTTTCTTCTCCTTCAGGCCGCTTGGCTCCACTGGCCCTTCCGGGGGGCTTCAACCTCATTTGCCACCAAAACAGGCGAGTGAAGAAGGGCTGTGTCTTCACGGGTTCACTTCAATTGCGGTGGGACCCAAGCTGGTCCCGGCATTCAATGCGCGGACACGAAAATGGAACAAGAGAAAATAGGAGCTCTCTTCCTCCCCTCCCTCCGTTTCGTGGGTTTTGTTTTTTCTTGTTTTCGTTCTTTCATATCCCCCCTTCTTTACGGCGTAATTATTTAAACGGGAGATCCGTGGCAGCTTTATGCTAATAGCGCCGAACAAAAGAGGGAGGTGGTTGACAAGCGAGGGAGGGAGCGCAGCTTAAAAGGAAAATAAGGGCCGAAGCCGGGCACGGGGAGGCGGGCGGAGGAGTTCGCGTGTCTCTCGCGTGTCCCTCGGGCTGGCACAACAATCGCTAATTCCTGTGAACACAAAGGCCTCTCTCCCGAGGCCCCGCTTGGCCCGGGTCAAACAGTACTCAGCAATGCCACCATTGTTTCCGCCGCTCAGGGAGTAAGAGCAGTGGTTCCAAAGCCGAGGAAGGTGCACGATTAGCCCGCCGGAGAACAGCAGGGAGGAGGAGGAGAGAAAAGATGCCGAAGGCTGCTCGGATCAATGGGAGGGCAACCGGCGGCCTTCCAGATTTACCCAGCGAGGTGCTGCTGCGCGTTAATCTGTACTGCGTGATTTCTTTCCCGAGCCGAAAAACTGTGGAAGGCCGCTCCCCATTACACGTAGATGCTGCTTGCTTTTGTTTTTTTTTAGCACACGTAATACAAATATTACGTGTGACTAACAACATAATGACTTTCGATTTTTGAGATTCGTTGTAATTATACTAAAACATAACAGCCCAAGTGGCAGTCAATGGACACATAAGAGGGGTTGTGAGGAGGGTCGGGAGTGCACCTTTCCGTTTTACCACCTTGCATTATTAGGCAACTTTTCAGAATAGTTCTGTTCTTTATCTGCTATAAATTCTCCTCATCCTGAACCCATATTAAGGAGAATGGTGGATATTTTTCCATCCAGCAGGTGGATCTTGATTGCAGGGGAAACAAAGCTAGAGAATTCGCTCTTCTTCTATCCGCTTGGGCTACAACAATGAGTAAGGAAGGACAAGACCACTAGCCAACCTCATTACTATGACAACATGGTCTGGCAACAGGAAGAAGCAAAATTTATGCCAACAAATTTTCTGATCCTCACATATTGGTGGTGAACAGTTTAACTTGACTGTCAGGAGCAATCCAGAGAGGGAAGTAATTAACAATGATTTGCACTATATTTTACAGTATATGAAAATACTAAGCAAGAGTAGTGGGAATAATGAGCATTTAGAGGTAGATCAATCTTTGTCCATTGAACAAATGTTTCTCTTGACTTAAATGGAAGTCTGATGCTGGAAACAAGCTAGGAGCAGTTGCTAGGACAGAACACAGGAGACACCAGGACATTCTGGTGCTGATGTCAATTTTAAGTGAAGAATCAAAGGCAATACATGACCCATACTTTGTTTATTGTCATTATGCTGGAGGTGGCAGAAACAGTTGTGATATGGTAGAGAATTCTGGTCTATCCCATTTTCCCATTTTAATGTTTGTACCACAGACTCTGCTAAAGTCTGCTGCAATGGGACCACAATCAGAACAAAGAGATCCTTAGCTAGAGAGTTTATAGGGTGCAAATCTTGAGCGTGCACTAAGAAGGATAGAGCAAGAGTGGCAAACAGAGAAAGTGCCAAGAACCTAAACATTTACCTCCTGCGTTGGAAAGGATTTCATGGCATTAAATAATATTTTGACTCCTATTAGTTAGCAATGCCAGTTGGCCAGAATGCTGGAAGGCAAGCATAACAGATCAGATTTATGTATTGCTGAACATTTGGATGAAATACTGCCAGTCTGATTTTCTGGTACTTCTACAAATAAGAGAGCCAGAAGCCTTAAAAATGGCAATAATTCTGGGAAGAAGCTTGGAGTCCTGGCTTCCTAGGAGACTTATTGAACTCCTATACATGATCTGTTTTCACAAGGAGTGTGGTTTGTGCATACGTATGACGTATGGTATGATGCGTATGACGTCAGTAAGGGAAAATTCATGTAAGAAATGGGAGAGAAAAATCTAGTCTGCTCTACCCCCTTCAGTGGAGTGCCTTGGTGACTGAAGGAAAGCCTTCAGATGCCACCAATCCTTGTATGTACTCAGAGACACAATATTTTCTGCTTTACAGATCCCAAGTACTGAAACTAGTCTTTTCTGGTTAACCCTGCTATCCCCATTTGAATAACAAGTAAGCAATTTAGCTAAAAGTTGCCAGTGACTCATTTAATATCTGGGTTCACACAGCACACTAAATCAGGCTGAAATGGTGTTGGATAGTTTGTTGTCCAATATATTGCAGGAAATGCTATGATTGTCTTAAGCATATTGAGCGATCCAGACTACTATTATCATATTAAGCTATATTTTAGTTATTTGAACATAGCATGTGTTACAATCACAGCTATTGCATTTTGTTAACCTGGTTTAGTGCCAATTGTAATGTGTGAATCCAGCCAACCAATATTTCTTTTAACACTTGGTTTGCAATGTACTGTAAATCTTCCATTAAAGAGAGAGTGATTGAGTCACAATTCAAGCGAAGCTCAGAGCACTTCATGGTACAATCCTATACAAGTTTATTTAAGGCTGGCTGAGTCCAAACAATGCTTAATTTCCAGGTAAATTGATTTAGAAGGTCCCATTTAGTTTTAGTAGGAGAAAGAGAAAAGTTAGTATTTTTCACTAGAATATATTTATGGTGGATTCTATTCTTAATCATGTATATGCTCAACCTGGTGCTTCTCATACTTTAGCCTAAATTGATGGGATCTACATTCCGATACACTACACTGAAAATCCTCCACCACGATTTTTCCTTTTAATGATTAACAACATATTTAGCAATATTTTTCCGTCACTGTAGCACTCAGAAGCCCATTCTCAGGATTATTGCATGGTTGGATGAGCTGCTAGAAGATGCCATAAATCAGTGGCCCCCAAATTTTTTGGGCACCAGGGACCAGTTCCTTGGAGAGAGGTTTTTTTCATGGACTGGAGAGTGTGTGGTTTCATATACTGGCTGCATCCTGCAGATGGGGCTTTGCTTGTTTGCGTGGACCAGTTTCTGACATGCCTCGGACCAGTGCGGGTCCATGGACTGGAGATTGGGGACCCTTGTTATAAATCACTAGTAGGAATCACTCTTTGTTTAGATATTTTGGGGGGCTTTGTGCTTGGCTGTAATGTCACAGGAAACTCCATTTTTCATCCTCTTTAAGATTCTAGTACCTTAAAATCCAACCAACAGAATTTCACTCCATAAATTTCACTCCATAATTTGTGAAGTCCAACATCTCTAGCCCTAATCTCTGCTTCTTCCATTAGAGGCATTCCTCACTGCTGTTGCTGTTCCACCTATTTTATAATCTGCAGAAAAAAATTGTTGTCCCCACTGCTGCTCCTACTACCAGTCTTCTGACTAGTGGCTAGGTAGGGTTATTCTACATGGGCAGCATAGGAAAGATGGCTAAGACCTCTGAATCTACTGCCTCTCTCTTTCAATATAACACCATCCAGCCAGAAAAACAGTCACCAGCACAGATGTCTACCAGTGGATTCCTCTGTGCTGTTTGGGAGGCAAGGAAAGCGGGGAGGAGGTATGGTACTATCACATCAGTTTAATGCTATTTCAATCTGCTACAATATTCTATTATAGTACCATTTCACTGTTATTCTACTTCAAGCCCAGACAGGTAGCTGTGTTTCATGTGCTGCAGCATCCAATTCCCTAGGGAGACATCAGAGGAATGGTGGTGAGCAAGGTCAAGTAGGGACCAGGGAAGAAGGCGTGCCCTCTTAGTCTGAAATGGCCAATAAGCATCTCTCTGACCCCATTGGCTGTTGGTCACCTGACTCTGTCTCTGATGTAATGGGTGGAGCTTTGAGGCACACTGGTGGTAAGGGGGGAAAGGCAATTTTTAACAACAGTCCAGCTGAGTTCACCTTGTTTCAGAGGAGCAGAGACTTTCAGAGGATGCTCGCAAAACCGCAAACTGGTTAGATGCAGGTGGAGGAAGGCCTCGGGCTGCCAGGCATCCTAAGATGGTTGCTTGCAAAAATGAGAGAAACTGGGTTCTTCTCCCTGACTAGTTGCACACACTTCTGCAAGAGTTGTTTGCACTTGCTTTGAAAGATGGTGCTTGCCATGTTTCTCCTTTTTCTCTCTTTTCAGTGCAAAATCTTAAACCAAGAGGGTTCACGTTTATTTTGATGTGGCATTGGATAAAAGGCAAAAAAAAAAAAATCCCAAGCATAAAGAGTTTACTTTGTATTGTGTGTGTGTGTTTAAAACCTCTTACATCTTTTGTGTCCCCAGCAATTTGCTTAAAAATTAAAATAACCTGCCTTGTATTTTAAATCCATCTAAAATTTAGTGACAACTGTACAGTACAGGGATCAAATTTAATTGGGACAAATTACCAATGCATTTAGCCCTGGCAATTGAAATCTGAATGAAGAGACTAATTACAATTATATTAATGGTGTGTGTTGTTGAGGGGGAGAAGTTATCTGAGTCACTACAGAGAATAGTTGAGAAAATACACGGAGTAGATACCCTACAGATTACAATACTGAATCTTGATAAAGCTAGTGAATTCAATACTTTCCCCTGCTATAAGAGAGAGAGAAATCACCTAAAGCGGGAAGTGCCGGGTTAGGTGGCTCTTGTCCCTTTCTCTTCGGCCTAGTGCCGTAGCCGGCCCTGAACAAATCCATGTTCTGGTTAACTTCATAGCAGTCAGCAAAACGAAACGCGCCGGGCCCCCAATGCTTCCCATGAACGCCCTTGAAGGGCGACTTGTAGCGGAGCGAGCCAGCGCCGGTAAAGCGAGTACGAAACCGCGCGGTGTTTCTCCTCCCCCTCCCGCTCTTCTTTCCCCGATTACGCCGTCCAGTTTGCGTTTTTTTACGGGCCAGGCGCAAAATCTGGCGGGAGGACCTTCTTGTTTCTAAGGCCTCCCAGCGCCCGAAGGTCCGAACTGGCTACTAGCGCTTAGGAGTTTGCGCGGAAGGCTTAGCGCGGAGTCTCCAGTCGCTGCACACCCCCCCCCCGCTCCCTTCCCCCCCCCGCGGCGGGCCCCCAGCAGCACGCGCCTCTTGCTGCTCCAGATTGGCCGCGGTTCCCTTTCAATACCCAGAGGTTAATTTCCTTGACAAAGGTGGCGGGGGAGACAGAGGAAGACCTCCTTGGGCAGACAGACCCTTTCTCTCTCTCCCGCTTTGGCTACTTGATTAGACCCCTTGATTTAGCATCAGATGTCAAACAGCAAAATGCCCTCACTGGATTAAAATGCATGAGCCCCCGCCGGCTCCATCCTTTCTCTCGCCCCCTCCCTGAGCCGCCAAGGGCGCCTTCATCAACTTTAAAGAGTCTGTATCAGAATGGCGACCCACCATCAGCCCACTTAAATCGAATGAATTCGGTTTTGAACCATCTGGTGCTTTGAGAAGGAGGGGGCGATTCTCTGCCCCTTTTGAAATGCAGCTCAGCTCCTCCTCGAAGATTGCTCAGGAGAATATCGGATCATGGCCAGAAGGTGGAAAGAAACAATCCTACCAACCGGCAAGAAGCCGAGATAAACGCACTCGGTTTCCAAAGAATTCTGCTCGCTGTAATTACACGTTGCAGGGTGGCAAAGCGGTCAGAAAATAGAATTTCGAACGTGGCAGGCAGAAGGCAGAGGAGCCCAGACGCGGCAGATGGGAGGGGTCCTCGGGTGTTGCTTGAGGGGCCCCGAGAGCCTCTGATTGCAAGGGGAGGGGAAACGGCCTCGCTGCTTCCCTAGCCGGGTAGAGCGCTGGCCAGGAGGGGAATTTAAGCCGCGGAGCTGCACAGTCGCCGTTGTTCCAGAAAGCCGCCGGGTTTTGAGTCGGACTTGTTGCAAAGACTAGTAGTCAGATCCTCTCCCTAACTAGGATCTGACGACGGCTGGAAGAGACGGAGCACTTCCTCCCGCCCGGATGGTCTTAGAAAAGCAAAAGCTTCATTGGGCAGGATGCTCTTAGGCCCATGGTGTTACCTGTATTTACAGTCCAATTCTATATCAAAATGTCTCGTCAAGGCACAAATGCTCAGTCCACGCATTCATAAATACATTAATGCTTGAACGGGGTAAACAGTTGAAGCAGCAGTGACATGCGCACCCCCAAGGCAGCGGCGCTTCCTTCCTGAGCGTCTGCGCCACAGCGCACAGCTTTGCGGTCTGAAACAGCCACAGGTCTCCCCGGCAAGTGGTTGCAATCCTCTGCTTGCGTTTTTTTCGCCCGGGCTAGAATTGGCAAAGGAAATCGCCTAGGTGCGCCTGGGATTTCGCTTCCCCACCCCCACCCCACCGGTTTAAAAATAGCAATACCCCATTGAACTTTATGGGTTTACTCTCGAGTAGGATTAAGCCTGACGGGCAGAGAAGGGCGAGAGAGGTTTTTTCCTCAAAAGCGCCAGCGCAGCCGCAGTACTTTCTGCGGACAAAGCTCTTCGCCGCGAGAAGCTTTTGCCTCGGCGAAGACAACAAGCGTCTGGAGGTGCGGCCGGGCTCGCGCGCGTCGCCTTGTCCCTCTTTCCTCCTTCCCTCTCCCCCCTCCGCCGCCCCCCATATGTGGCGCTGGGCTGCTTCTGTTCAGCCACTAGAAGCTCGCGCGCCCCGCGATTTCTATAGCCGTTCCTTTCCTCAGGATTTTCCTGGCCCCAGAGGGCTTTTAAACAATTGGCGCCCTTCTCTTGCTCCGCACCGTTCGCGGCTCCCGCCTGTATTTTGCCCTCTTCTCGACATATTTCGACTCATTCTTCTCTTTTGTTGCTATTTTGCTCGCGGAGGTGTGGACGGGCTCTCTCTCCCCCCCCCAACTGCCAACACACTCGTCCTCCCCATCCCTTATTGTCATGTTGATGGGTATTTCGATTTGGCAGCTCTTGTGCCCCGCCTGGAGAAAAGACACAAAAGGGAGGCACGTGCGCCTTCCCATAGAAAAGCAGCAGACCGTGAAAGGAGGCGGAGCTGGGCGTGTGCCTTTTGGGGGACAAGGAGGGCAGGGGGAAGGGAAGACCCAAGAAAAGAAAAGGAGGGGGAGGGAAAACGAAAAGAAAAGAGAAGCGCCGAACCCCTCAGGTACATCTGCTGCGCCCTACCTAGCTCAGCCACTAGCTCGGCGGGCGCCTGCCCCCTTTCTGCCTCAAAGCCAATGGAGCAGCCGCGGGAAGCGCTGATTGGCTCCGGGGAGGAGCAGGAGGCCAGAACAATGCTGTCCTCCCCCCTTAAAAAGCGGGCGGTGAGGCTGGGCGACTGGGGGGGCGACATCACCGAGAGGCGGCGGCCGTGGCGCTCTGGCGGGGACGCCCGGGGAGTCCGCGGCAGCACAGACTGCGAGCGTGCGAAGTGAGGAGGCGAGGCGAAGCCTCCTCCTCCACCACCACTTCTGTTTCTCTCTCCCGCTTG